GGGGTTGGGTGGGGGTGGAATTGATTTCAATTGGCCCCAGTCGAGCTGCAGCAAAATGTTACCTTACACAGTGTGCGAATATGCTCAATTTGGAGGCTGCTCATAGACAGTGCAGGCTTTTCACAACGGAAAAAAAATATTTGTTGAAGAACAATTTTTAAACAATCTATTCTCTTAAATCTTACCAACATGGACAGACTTGGGGAGGTGAGGGGGATAGAGAGTAGATTGAGTGATAAAAGTTATAAAAAGAACTCAGATACCAAATATTAAACATTAACATAAAAACTTTCCTTCCCACTCTATACATTATTGTTTTAATATCACGATATTTACTTATTCACGTTGTTATAATCAGCTCATGCCTGATACCAATAACATCGTTAAAATGGCAACCAAAAGAAAGAGAAAGTAAACATACGCACACAAAAACCACAAACAACAACAACAAATATTCGCATAGTCATGTTTTGAAGAGATAATGCAGGCAGGTTAGTTGGTTTTACTGTTAAATTACTTGAAGATAAGGATTTGAACCTTGGGCATTACGCGTTTTGATCGTGTTCGCAAATATTTGCTCCAGAGGGGCCAAGTAAGTTTTTTTTTTAAGCAAGAAGAAAAAAAAGAAGGTAAAAAACCTTTTTGTCAGTCTAGCATCTATAAAATCTCTGTCACAGCTCCTCTTTGGACGCCACTTGTCGTCTGCTCATGGCGTCATGACAAATGTTACACACGACTTAGAAACTGAAAAAGTATTTACGCAGCAGAATGAATCGTTTTTTAAAATGTGTGAGCAGTAACTTTGGTTGGGTTCGTCAACCAGGAGAGGCATCCCCCACCAGCTGTTCTGACAACACCGGATTACTAAAAGTCTGTTTCAACAAACGACAAGAACAGCCAGCCGTAAAGAAACAGCTTTCATGGATATCCTTGACTTGTGAAGCCCTTAAAATTATAATTATGTGGGTCAGAAAAAAAGTAAAAAAACCCAGTCATAATTTTTGGGGAGTTGTTACATTGCTTTTTCCGTGACGTCATTTCAAGCCCTACTAGAAATAGTTTTAGACGACAGAAATTGTCCTTCCTCTCCTCTCCTCCCC